ATCCTGTGTTTTGTTTAAAAAAAAAAAAAATCCAATAATAGGATGCAACTAAGTCTGCCATCAAGAGGCCATGTCTTCATTTTTGTCACCAACTGATCAAGAGTCACCCCAATGGGTGATGTGCCAGAAATCTATTTAAAAACTGCCCATCTCATATCATTACTAAATCAACACAAATAACCTCACCCAATGTCTTTAAGAATGCATCTACATTAACTACCAAAAGCAAAAAAGCTCTGCAGCAAAGATGAGGCCAAGATATTTGTTTGTGGTGGCTGGCTGGTACAGGGACCAGAACCCTTGACCTTGGTGTTACAAGGTGGCGCTCTAACCAACTGAGATAAGTGTCCAGCCCCCGAGGCCAAGATATTTGGAAAGCCAAATCCATGAAGTTTGGCTCCCCCGCAAACTCATTTTTACCTTAACTTATCCAATGAACTTTACCTGCAACCAAGACAAACTGACAGCTTTTCCATCCTTTCTATAGGTTTTAATTATGAACTGGCCTCAAACCACTTATTCAGACAGAATTCCCTCTATTCATGAGCAGACTGCTACTATGGGTCCTTGAATCTGCTTATAAATACCAACTGCCAGAAATCCCAGAAACTCTCCTTTTTTCTATTGTGTCACTAGCTGTGCTGCCAAGGTATAGATTAAACGCTTTGCTCAATTCAACTATTTACTATCTTCCCTGAGTTCTTTTGATATCATTCAACCTCCCCATATAGGTCAGAATGAGTTGCTCTGGCACTAGAAGATACCGTCCACAGAGACCAAAATTAGGTTCTCTGGAATATGGTTTAACTTAAAGCTATCCACAGAGACTTGGAAATAGTTTCATTAGCGATTTTTAGCGTAGATTATTTACTGTAACTGGATCTGGCGTATATGAAGAGATGTTTCTAGGGACTCAGTAGCCACAAAAACATAACAGAAGTGACTAAGGCAATCCTGAAACAGCCATTTTTCTCTAAAAGCAAGGAGTGGAAGTGGAGACATTATTAAATAATTACTAACCAATCTCAATACGAAACTGTTCTGCATTCAATTGTACATACCAACACAAACTTAATTGTCAACCATTCATCTCTAACTTGTCAGGCAGTAATCAGCCAGGAAAACCTTCATTTCCAAAGGTACAAAACAATTTTCCCTTGGGACCAGCCTTCCTAGCTAAGGCAAAAAACCACACTATGGCTTTCTAAAATAGATAGCTCTGAAAATTTCAGCGTGATAAGAATAAAAAATTTAAACCTTCAGAACAAACTAAAACCTTATATGGGACAAAATATATATATATATAAAAAGAAGAAAAAGCAAAGAAAAAAAAAGAAACCTTATATGGGAGATAGGACAAGCTGTGAATTAGAAAGCCATTTTACGGAATACTACTTTCTTCTTTTGAAGAGCAAACTTGAGGAGACTAAAAAGGGGCTTTATGACCAGAATATCCGTATCTTGGTGGTCACAACTGATTTTGTTTATATTGGGAGATTTTGATTTGCTTTCAAATTAAACCTCTCACCCAGAGAAAATAAAAATTTAAAAGGTTACAAGAGTGTATAAGGTTTGCTGTTAAATCAGGGATTCTGAGTGATACCCTTTTTTTTTTTTTTTTGTGCAACATCCATTAATTTGATTTCTAACTAATACTGGTACATCAGTTTGGGGAGAAAAAAAAGGCAGTACTGTGACATTTCAAAAACAAAGATTACCAAAATACAGTTTGACTTAATTACTGGGGCTTCTTGGACTTGATGGATGAGATTCCTTTGAGAACAAAAAACAATAAACCCTTGTGTTGATATGCCTGAGACCTTTTTAAATGTTTGGAGAAATATTTTCAAATTCAGTGAATGATTGCTAAAATTTTCACTTACAAAAGAATTCTCAACATTTCATTTTAAAAGCAAAGTTAAATAAGCATCTTTCCACAACTCAGAAGCCCTTGAAACTTGGAAGGGTTATCTGTTAACATCCAGTTTCTGCTCTTGGCTCCAGGAAAAGGAATTTTACAAAGGATGGAAAACTTCAAATAAATGCAATTCATTTTCAGCTGACCCAGCGCACTGGATAGTGTGTTCGTGCTTCAGACATTTTTTGCAGGATACTGTAGTTTGGAGACTTCTTCCTCCCATAACTGATTTTACATACCTAAGATCATCACTTCATGGTAGTTAACTTGTGAACATATTAAGACGAAGAACAAAACAAGTGGTCTACTGAATTGCAGTTTACATGTTTCCTCATCTAAATGTGAGTGAACTTTTTTACTCCTAAGAATGGAAAAAAGGAAGCAGGGTCTTTTGGAGGGGACTAGGTCTGTTGAAAAGGTTTCTCTAACAAAGTATGTCAAGGACCAAAAGTGGGCAAGAGGGGAAACGGAACTTCAACGTGTTTTGTCTTTTAACGGAAGAACTTATGCTTGTAAAACACATCAGAAGTACAGTTTGGTTCTGCAAGTCATTTCTGTTGCTGTTTTTTCCTTGTACGTGTAGGACAGGGGGAGTGGAGGAGGTGTTCTCCCCAACATGACTGGGCGTGTAACACATTTGCATCAACTTTTCACGTCAGGCATGTGCTTTCGAACAAAGGAGCAGTGAAGAAAGGCAGAGACTGGGGCTTGACACAGTTACAGATTTTGTGCTTAAACAGTACTTTACAAATGACTTGCTCAATTTAAACGTCCTGATCACCATAAGAGACACTGGAGTAAAATGAGGAAACTGGATCTACTTGAACCACAACGGGGGGGGGGGGGGGGGGGGGGGGGGG